GCTGATCAATCCGCTGACAGCCTTTGGAGGCTCGTTTTGAAGCCTCAGTTGAAGTTCCCCTCGTGTCGGTCGCAGTACTAGTGATACTTGTCGTGGTCCTACTAGTAATCCTGTAATCCTCGCAGTATTGGTACTAGTACTTGTCGTCTTCTGACTCCATCGTATTTCCTTTTGCTGCTTTCAACCACCCCACACGCTGGAGTTTTCAGGGAATTTGGAAAAGGGTGCTTGAGGAAGTGCTTCAATGCAGCTCCGAAGGGGGGTTGTAACGGAAGGCTTTCGGGGATTCTACAGCCTTTCACGTTGTTTTCTTCCTCGCAGTACTCGTATTGACAAATTGTAGTATTTCATTTTATTGCCTTCGGTTTTAAGCACCCCAGATGCTAAAGATTTCAGGGGAATCTGGAAAACGGGTGTTGAAGGAACTGCTCGAAGGAGGGCCTTGCAAAAGGAGGCTTTAGGGGGGCAGGGCTCTCAGGGACTCTACAGCCTTTCTCTTTGTTTTTTTCATCCCCTCAAATCAAAGTACCTCTTTCCGTGTAGCTTTCTTTGGTTGGCCATAGGATTTCCATAATTTTCGTGCGTGCAGGTTCCCATTGCGGGCGGTTCCGATGTTTTCCCAGAGGCTTGCAACAGTTTTGCGTGCTAGAGTATGCTGCAATTTCCTTCCAATGATTTCGGAAAGGACACTCTACAAGTTGCTGTGTTCACGTCCCGTTGCTGAAAAAGATTCAGATTCCAGTGTTTTCTACGGGCCTGCTTCCAGGTCTAGGGGACCTCCAGAGTATTTGATCCTTCAGGCTTACATTTGGAACCCCAGCGGACTATGGGCGTCACGGATTTTAAGGACTTTTTGAGGGATTCCATGCAGCCAACATCTTGCAGTTTTCGGAAGCCCTGCAATTTTGCATATGTTTGAACCTTCAGGCTTAGATCTGGAGCCGTCACGGATTTTGAGGATTCTTTGCAAGACCATGTAGCCAAAATATGCATATTTTTGTTGACTTCCTTTTTCCCCGAAAGACCATTTCACATCTTCCGCCCAGAGACCAGCTGATATGGGCTGCTGCTGCTGGTGTGTGCTGATGCTGCTGATGTGTCCCGCTGCGGCTGCTGCTGCTGCTGCTGCCTGAAACTTTGTCGTCGTGAGGTGTTCATGCCTTGTCCTAGAGAGGTTCATGCCCTGTCGTGGTGAGGTGTTCATGCTTTGTTGTGGTAAGGTTTTCATGCCTTGTCGTAGTGAGGTTTTCATGCCTCGTCGCAAGGTTTCGTGCGCTGTCGTGAAAAAGTTGTTCTGCTGGCGTGGTGTCAATATTTCTTGTTATGGTGTGGACTCCTTTTTGCCGTGGTAACAACGCGCTCTCAATCGACTTTCGTCTACGGTGACACACCCGACTTAGTACATCAGGTTGATACATGAGATGATTTTCGAGGATGTCTGGTGGGGTGCCAGACTGCTCTACAAGCCTTTCAATCCAACATTCCAGACAGCCGTGTTCGCCCACTTCATCACAGCTTCTGTTTCGGTCTTGGCACGTCTGATTACGAAGCAGTGAGCATGTCCAGGCCACTTGAAGTTTTCGACACACTGGCAAATGCGACTGTTATCAATTCCACTGCAGCTTGTTGTTTCTCATCCTCAAACTCCATCGCGCCTGTCCAGTTGCGAGAATCAGAGCAACACTGGAAGCACGAAGAAGTCCCTTTGCAACCGCCTTCGTCTTTCGGGGAACCACCCAGACAAGCTGGGGTGAAGGCCCTGATAGTTACAAGTTGCGCCGAGACTGTTTGTCATCCGTCGGCCACAGCTTGCAGCCAAAAGCGGATGAGGAATGGAAGACTGCACACGAAAACTTCACCAACAGATTCCGCGGGGTTCTGCTTGCAACTTGCATTTGCGAGGCACGGCATGGTGTTCATGAGGTTGTGCTTGTCATGTGAACATGCAAGATAGGCTGCAGTGGAGCATTCGGACCTGTGCAAAGCACAGAGTTTCGATAGCGGTGCCACCTGTGCACCACATGAATCCACAAATTATCGTAGTCAGCCATGTTTACAAAGATTACAAGCCGTTACAGTGCACACAAGGCAGTGACAGTACTGACATGAAACAATGAAAATGACAAAGCTCTTCAGCATAATATTGGACACAACATCCAAAGCTTCTGGACATTGGCATGGGTTGCTGCCACGATCCAAAGCATTCTTGATTGCTGTCAAAAATTTTCATTTGCATGTGTTCCGGGTTCCGAGGCGCGGGCACAACTGCCGGGTCCAGAAAGAAGCTGCCCGAGGCCTGGCAGACGAAGGGAAAGCATGCTGCATCCTAACCAAATATGGCAATCCACGTGGTTGTTGCGGTTTGGGCAGGTTTCATGGCATTGCGGCCTTGGTTGCCATGGTCTGGAGGCAGCATGTTACACAGCAGGTTCTGCGCAAGATCGCTAGATTCCGCTAGATTGCGCTGGGATTGTCTGCAGGTCGAAGGCATCCCTCTTGACCGATATCTGGACCATTTCACCGGGCTGGGGAAGCAAGAGCAGCATGAGGCTTGGGGTGAGGGGGAGCAAAGGCCATTGCCATTGCGGCCATTGCCCGTTGAGTTGATGCCCCGGCACAGGTGATAAGTCGTGTCATGCAAGAAGCAGAGAAGAGCACATCTTCCGGAGCCAAGGCCGTTGACTCAGCGTGTGACGATGCTCTTTGTATTGCTCTCGCCATTTCGAGGCCGGAGTGTGCAACCGGAAGGTGGCACGTGCCAGACACCGAGCTTTCGCGAAATTAGTTGAATGCCCTCCTTCCTCGCTCTGGCCCCCCTGGCCATGTTCAGATCGGCGTGCTGTCTTGGAACGTTGGTGGCATCAGCGACCACCGAAAGGACCAAGGAGCTGGCCTGGAAGAGGTCGGCTATCTACCGCAGTCGTTACCCCCCTCTGCGCTTTCCACCCGTGCTAGGAAGCGCAGGCAGCTGTTGCAGATGTTCTGCAAGCTGCGGCCGCGGACTCAGCATGCGGCAGAGGCAAGCGCCGTCGTAGAACAGGCTCCGAATCATTTCCCCACGTGGGCGGTGGGCATGTTCATGAGTGCTGTGACGAAGCAGTTCAAGATTTTTGGGCAGATCTGGCAAGAATTTTGCCGGGAGACGTGGCAACTAGCCCGTCCAGCTTGACTTATTCGCAGTTGGGCACGCGCCGATTGATGCCTGCGTTGGCACTGTGGATGCTTCTGGCAACATCAGCAGATGCGGGTGTTCCAGAGTTCATTGCAACCGAGGTCGCCAAGCTCGGCGCAGCAGACGTGATAGTTGTTGGGCTGCAGGCCAGTGCGAGATCCACTTCTGTGTCACATCGTGCCGCGTGTTGCTACTTTACGCAGTTTGAATCCCCTGTTTGCGGCAAGGCCGTTTCAACTGGCCGTTGCACTTCAGCTCAAGAACTCAACATGACAGCAATCAGTCCCGGAGCACTTCATTGCCGAAGTTTTGGCGAGGACTAGTATTTCCAGAAACCTCACCCCGTCTGGAAATACACAGCGCGTACCAACTACATGAGAGCCAAAGCACGATGGTACCGAGCAGCCTGCCTCTTCGTCTGGCCTCCTCTCTGCGTTGGGCCACCATGCTTTCTTCTGGCATTCACTTCGATCCAGGTGTGCAGGGCTCGGAAGCTGGCATCGCTCTTCGGGATTCTTGATACACCGTCCTGCCGTACCTCCGGTCAGTCCTGCCTGGATCTGAGCAGAACCTCTGTGAAGCTGTGTGAAGAGGTGCTGTCCTGTGCTGTCAGAGAGACCAAGGCCGGCATCCCCAATCAAGTTTGGAACTGGCGAGGATGCCAGGCAGCGAGCTGTCGTAGTCAGCACCTGTGCTTGTTGGAGCACCAGTGTGACGCAGGTGCGATACCAGGTTCTGGGCGAAAACAACACCGGCCCAAGTTGCAGGGGCCCCTTGTGGGATATGGGGTCGATTCTGTGGCTCTTTCTTCTCGCTATGAGCCTTTGTCTCCTAGGTCTCTTGCTCCACGGTTTGCTGGTCAATGCAGCTTTTCCGCGAGATGTAAAGACCATTTGAAGCATGACTGCGAAGCAAAGCGGCAGACGGAGAGAAGAACAGGATGTAACGATGTGACGCCTCCCGAGGCGGATCATTGGCGTCGCAACTTGCCTGACTTGGCCAAGGCCTGACTGCTCCCAGGCATGAGGCAATCTATGCCAAAGCCCTGTGCAGGCGGGGCTTCGTGTCTATGCACTGGACTTCCTGGGCAGCGGCTACACTGACCGGATAGAGCCGTGCAGTCCTGAACCTTGTCAGGATGACATCGTCGATTTTTTTTAAAATCTTTTTTTGTACAAGAAGAACTTGAGACACTTTCAGGAAGCGGCCGCCCTAAGCGGGGAGCGTCGAAGAAACTTGAGCGTCGCGCACGCCGAGCTTCTTCGAGGTGGAGGTGGGCGCCTCGAGGCCATGACTCATGTTCCATGTTTGGTGACTTTTCATGTTTATAAAGGGTGCCGAGAAGTGGTTTCGGCAGCTTGGCTGAGCAGGTTTGATGGTATCTGTTCCATTCATAGAAGACTTGCAGCTATTCTGTAGCCGCGGAAGTGGCCCAATGAATATCCTCAACCTAACCACGGGCCAAGGTCCCGCAGCTACATCCCCTTGGCTCTGTGCTTCTTGTCTGAGCTTCTTGTCTCTGACCCAAGCAGCGACTACTCCCACTAGCACCGGGAGCGAGGTACAACATCTACACTTGGAGCGAGCAAGTCTGCGACTTCCTTGAGGAGGTTGTGAAAGATGATGCCTTCCTGTGTCAAGGCTGCAATCCATCAATACAAGAGTTTCTGAGGCTGATTGCGTGTCTTGACGAGGATTGGAAACTCTCTTGGCTCGCTGATCGGTCTCTCGTCGGGAACATGTCTAGGTCTAGAGTCTAGGTGATTCAGGATTTGTGGTGTGTCCTTTGCCGTCTCTCAGCGCAGGCTTGCAAGCAGCTATTGATCGCCCAGATCTTGCGCGCGGGGTCTTGCTGGTGAATCCTCGGTTTCGACAGGAGCACGTTGCAGAGGCAATTTGTGGAGCATATTTGACCATGCTCAATCTTCTTCATGTCGCTTCCAGTGAGACGTCCGGAGCCGTTCTCCTGCCCATAAAGGCTCCTGCCGTCATCAGGCCGACATTCCTTGTGGGGCTGCGAGTGTCTGGATGGGATGTGTTTCGACAGAGACTACTGGCTCTTCACCGGCAGGCCGTTCATTGAGCTCGTGCAGAGCCTGCTGCGGGAAACGTTTGCGACTTGGCCTGTCAAGATTAGAACTGTGCTCTGTAAATCAAAAAACGATGGTATAATAGCCGCAAGCTGAGGTGGGCCGATCCCTCTTCAACCTGTTAGCCAACAAAAACGCCGTGAAAGAAATTCTCAAAGAGCCGTACTACGACTCGTCCCAGGATGGCCTCCCAGTGTTACTGTCATGTTCACTAAAATGTTTCGTGCTGTTTATCTCTGCGAAGGTGACTGACGAGCTGGTTGATGTTTTGCTCGAGCCCCTCTTGCTACAGGGTGCGCCGGAATCGGTTTTCGATGCTTGGACTGGCCTTTCGGGAGCCAGCACGGTCATTTCACGCTGCCTTCCCTGCCAACCGAGGATACCTTTTCGTACTCCACGGGGCCACTCCTGGAACAGCTCTTGCAGGACTGCTCAAGCACATGCTTCGCCGTGGTGTCTTGGAAGTGGACTTCGACAGGATTCTCGTTTGGCTGCTCCTGTTTGGGTGGCCCGGCAGCAGTCCTTGACTGGAAGAAGGGGTTTCTTGGGACGCGCACGGCGCAAAAAAGCAAGGCATGCTGGGGAGACAAAGATCCCTGGACTCCGCTGCAGCGGGCCTCGGCCCTTGGTGAGCTTTCTTCTGTGAAGCGGTTGATCGAGTGCCTTGGCCTTTCCTGCAAACCGAAGAATCTCAAATCTCAAGGACCTGGCACTGGGGCTTTTACCACGAAGAAGGGTATCCCATTGCCTGCTGCTCAGGTTTCCAGGAGTTGGGCACTGCCCTCATGACGAAGCACCCAATGTGGCAGAGCTGCACAGCAGTCCAGGACTTAGAAGGAGTGCCACCAGTCCAGCTCTCCTTGCATCCAGGTGGTGAATGCATTGATTCTGGAGTTCACCCGCAACTTCTCGAAAGCCTGGCCTGCAGAGGGGAGAAAAAGATCGCATCAGGGCCCGTTGGAAGGGACGATCTTGGGAGCGAGTTCAGACAGTACCTGGCAGGAGATCATCAGCTTGACGCCCTCGAATGCCATGAAGGGCACGAGCAGCTTCAAGGAATCTCGCGGAAGCCCCGTTGGATGATTCTTTGCCACTTCCTCGGTCCCTGCCTCACCTGTAAAGCCGAGGCAAGAACCAGACCTTTTATGGCTGGCCGGAGACCGTGGCACAATGGGTGGAGCTGCTCCTAGGCGCGGCTGGCCGCAGGGCACCGCAGGGCACCGCAGGGCACCGGCCTCATAAGACGAGAGCAGCTCCGGGAAGGTGCCCTGAACTCACGGCCTATGCCAGCCGGAAAAAGTTTCTGCCCCACGCCAAGTCCTAATGAAAGGCGTTGTGTGCATTCCGTTGCTTCCCAGCTGAGGCTCCTCTGACCACAGGGCTCGCCCCTTAACCTCTCAGAAAAAGCTGCTATCGTCCGTCCTTTCCTGCGGATTAAATTGAGCTGTTCAGGCCTACGTGCTGTATGGCCAGCCTGTGTACCTGTTCGGCCTTCTGCGGAGTGCTCAGACAATTTACTGTGGAAGATTCGCTCAGAGGGAAAGCTTCAACACGGTCTAGCATCTTCAAAATATGAACCTGGGCACGCCTCTCGTGCACCGAGGCTTTGTGTGTTTTGTCCAGCACACCTGCTGAAGCACATTCGTGACTTTGGCCTAAACCCCAGCAGTACGAGATTGCATCTGAAGGGAGAGGTTCCCGTTGGACCTTGTTTGGAAGGCATGGCAGAGAAGCCGATGGACCCCAGGATCAAATCAGGCCGACAGCCGCAGAGAAAAAAGGAGCATCGAGAGCCTCGCATCCGCTTGGAGGTTCCAAAGGAGCCGTCGCGTGCCGCTTTGTTCTCTGGGCCCGGTCCTCGGCTGTGTGCAGCGTGTGCTGCCATGTGCTGTGCGTGTGCTGCCTTCGGAAGTCGAGGACCGGAGCTTCTGCTTCCTGAACTGCCACTTGGCGGCGACCACCTCAAACTCAACCAGGCAAGTAAGCGGAATCCACAGAACGAGACCGATCCGCCAGTGCAGAGAAGTAGAAGATGCTGTGCGACCTGGCATCGCCCTTCTTGGGCCTGCATGGGGGTCGGATCTCAACCTTGCTGACGTGCAGGTATGGCTTGCGAGATCTGAAACAGCGACTCCAGCAACTGGAGCAGTGCTGGACAGAGGCCGGAACTTGGGATCTGCAGCTTTCTGACTTACTTGCTATCCCTAGCGAGCACTGCCGGCTATGGGTGTTCAGATCAAGTTCAAGTCACTTGTGAACCAGATGGCTTGGACCTAAGATTGCCAAGAGAGACGATGAGTGTTGCAGCAGAAATTTTCTCGGCGAGCCGAGGTTTATCCTGTTCCTGCTCACCGGGCGATTTTCCTGATGGGGGACGGGCGCGGGCTTTATTGGCAGGGTTTGGAAGGAAGATGCATGAAGCGCAACCAAAACCAAAGCCGCGACCGTTGAACTCATTCCACATTCTACATGTCGCTACTGCAATAGGGGTCAGAAGTGTCCAAACGGTGCAAGCCGCTATTTATCTACAGCGACGAATGTCATTTCTCGCAAACCTCGGAGGGGACAAATGGGAAAGGGCGCGCAGGCGAATGCGAGGCAGGTACACAAAAAGGCCGATTTCTATCGCAGACCCTCTGCGTCTATATCTTTCTGTGGAGCCCTGTCAGGACACCAACATGAGGCTAGTCAACAGGGAGAGCAAGAAGGACAGAAGATCCAAGTTGACCTGTCTTCGCGGCCCAGTTTCGGGAAAGCCGGGGCTCAGGACTTCCACGCTTATGCGTTGCAAGCCCTCGGCCGGCGAGTCAGCTTTCCTTCCGGTGTTGCTTGTGTGTTGCTTTCAGAGAGATTCTGCCGAGGCAAGCCGGAAGGCTACAAGGAGCTGTGGAAGTTGGATCAACTGAGCCAGGACGAAGAGGGGGAATGAAAGAAAGGGGCCTAAAGGGCCTAAAGGTTGGGGTTGGGACTTGCCAAAGATCTCTCAGGAGATGGCGGACTCTCCCCAGCCGTCGCTCTTTCCGCAGAAGAGCCTCGGATGTCTCAGTGCCGGGGCCTTTGGAAGTCTGAAGTCAGTGCGAGCCTTTTGGGAGACATTCCTTTGCATCTCAGGTGCCCCACGAGCGCCTGCTGTCCCAGTGGCCGGCCTCCCAGCCTGCCCAGGGCCTCCCAGCCTGCAGTCCCCAGCTTGCCCAGGCGTGAACCCTTCGCCGACGCCCATCAGGGCCCGCCCTTTCCTCCAACTTTCAAGCTCGCAGTGCCGCTGGGCAGCGCTTTTAGAGGATTCAGCCGTTTCGAAGTTCCCACCGCGCGCTGTCCAGGCCAGGCCCTGGATTCAGCAAAAAGCGCGTGCCGGTCCGCAGCACAGAGGGTGCCTCGTGCTGGCTGCCTCTCTCTGTCTCTCTCTCTCTCTCTCTCTCTCTCTCTCTCTCTCTTACTTCTTTTTGTGGGGAAGTTGATTTGGAACCAAGACAAGGCCTGGACAGATCGAGTCTTGTTCAGCGGAGAGCATGCGGAGTCCGAAGCTTAAACCAAGCAGGAGTGCCCTGCTCAGTGTGCCGCAACAACAAGCCTCCGATTGCCTCTATAGGCCTTTGAAGTATGGCTCTGTGGAGCAAATCCAGGCGCAAACCGTTCGTCGGACTTGAACCTGCAGAATCACCCTCTCTTCACCAGGTGCTCAACCCACCACACAATGTCTCGGATCATGACCCAGTGTGCGCTGGTGGCATCCATCTGGAGAGGTCGAAACTGTGTGATTCTGCGCGATTCCCATCAAGCTAGCAGGTATGCGTTCTTCGAGGTGGAGTGCATGGCCATTCATCCGAGGACCCTTGCTGGGAGTGAGAATCACCGCAGCAAAGGGTGCGCAGCAATTCTGAGGCGGCTCGGCACGCTGGCGCGGGAGGTAAGAAGCGCGACAAAGGAGCCGAGGCAGGGCAAACGCGCTGATCCAGCTGATGACGGCATTGCGCGAAAAGCCCGCGTGGCATCTGCTGCGAGGGAGGAACCGCTCGCACGAAGTCCGACCACGCAGTTGCAAGCGTTGCAGCAGGCCGGGAGCCCAAGGCATCAATCTATGACATCATCAGCATCATCACCATCATCATCATCATCAGCAGCATCCTCATCATCACCGTCATCATCATCGTCGTCATCGTCATCGTCATCACACCATTACGGTTCATTGCTACTAGGAGTTGCAGTTTTATGATTGTAACAATTTTAAGCAAGTTACTGGTTGTATGGTAGCAATGTAAATACATACATACATGACGGAGTACATGAATATGACATACATGTATCATACAATATATACATATATATATAT